GTAAAAACGCTGGGAGAGTTGCCCTCCAGGATGGGACATGGAAGCCTCGCACCCATTCCCTCATACCTTGCCCGGTTCATCCTTCCATCTGGATGGTCATCTGTATGCTTTTACAATAAGCTGGGGAAAAGTGTTTCTCTGAGTTCTATGAGCCACTCTAGCAAATTAATTTAAACCTAGAAAGGGAGTCATGAGAACCTTGGATTTATAGCCAGTGGGTCACTGAAGCCCAGTTGACAACCTATACTTGCACCTGGCGTCTGAAGGTGGTGATAGGCAGACTAAGCCCTTCATCTGTGGGGTCTGAGGCTGTCTCCAGGTAGAGTGGACTTATAAAGGACAAGTAACTTGTGTTGGGGAGAATTGCTTGTGAGGAAAAACTCACATATTTGGTAGCCAGAAGTGTCAGAAAATATGTTTTGTAAGATAGAAAAGGAGACTCCTCGGAGTTCCCAGGAGAACATAGGGAAGAGCTAGGGTTTTCCCTACACAGGTGGGAAGCTGGGAAGCTGAGTTTTTACTTTTTATCTACTTTCCCCTTTTCCATGGAAACACCCAGAGACCCCGCTTTCTTTTCCACTAATTCCCTGGACATGACCAGACTCCCTGTGTCTGCTATTAAATGGATATAATCAGCACCCCCCATCTTCCTTATAGACTTTCATAGACTTAACCAGGCCATATGTTTCCCCCTTATTCCATGGACATGACCATGTTTCCAATTTTCTTTTTATTCCTGAACACCTAGGACCCTTATTTTCCCTTTATTCCTTGGGAAGCAATCAGACCTCATGCTTTTCCTTATTTCACAGACACTATAAGACCTCTTATTTTCCTCTTTATGCACGGACATCCCCTGTTTTCTCTTCTTTCGTGTATACAACTAGGGCTTTTTCTCACATTCTATGGACATAACCAGGGTCCCTATATTCCCCTTACTACATGGACATAGCCATCCTCTCTATTTCTTTTTCTATGGACACAACAAAGCTGCCTAATTTCCTTTTATTCCATAGATATGACCAGAACACTCTGCTCATCCCCTTATTCCACTGACACAACCAATTCCCCAACTTTCCCCACATTAAACAGGCACACCCAGCCCTGTATTTTCTCCTCATTGAATGGAAATATCAGCCCTAATATTTTCCCTTTCTATGGATTTTATGAGGCTCAGTATTTTTCTCTTAATTTATGGACACTGCTAGACACCTTATTTTCACCATATTCCATAGACATGACCAGGGTCCCTCATTTCCCCTCATTTTATGGCCTATATTACTGCCTTTTCTCACAATTGACTCTGGATATAACCAGCCTGTTCATTTTCTCTTTATTCTATGATCTTTACCACACCCCATGCTTATCCCTCATACCACAAACATTATTGGAATCTTATTTTCTCCTTGTTCCATGGACATAATCAAAACCACCATTTCCCCCTCCAACTATGGAAACCATCCATCCTCCTGTACTTTTCCTCTGATTCATGCATAAACGCTGATCCCTATCTTCAACTTATCCCGTGAATTTTTTTTTAATTTAGAATGAAGAAAATTTATTTTATTTTATTTTATTTTTATTTTTCAGCATATGAGATGGCATTTTAGCCCATGAATTTTATCAGGTCTCCTATTTTTCACTTATTCCACAGACATAACCAGGATACTTGTTTTCCCTTTAAGCACAGAATTGATGAGCCCTCCTATTTCCCCTTATTCCCATGGATGTGTCTGTTTCTCCTTTTTCCTTCTCCAGGGACATGACCAGGGCCCCTGTCACCCTCCCTCCGTGGAAATAATCACTCTTCCTATTTTTCCTGAATCCATGATGTGGTAGGCTGAGTAATGGCCCCCTGGAACTTGTGAACATTGTCTTATGTGGTAAAGAAGGATTTTACAGATGTGATTGAGTTCAAGATCTTGAGATGGGCAGATCATTCTGGATTTTTTGGGTGGGCCTTAAATACCATCCATATATCCTTATAGGAGGGAGGCAGACAGAAGAGAAGGAGGGCATATGAAGCAGAGATGGAGTGTTGTGGCCACAAACCAAGAGATGCTAGCAGCCAGTAGATTTTCCCTTGAAGCCTCTGGAGGGAATACAGCCCTACCAACATCTTGATTTTGGTCTTGTGAAAATGACTTCAGATTTCTAGCCTCCAGAATTATAAGACAATACATTTCTGTGGTTTTAAGCCACCAAATTCATGTGAATTTGTTACAAAACCATAGGAAACTAATATACATGGACACACTTGTACTCCCAATTTTCTTCATATTCTGTGGACAAGTTAGTGGGTTGAATTGTGTTCCTCAAAAATATATGTGCAAGTCATAGCCCCTAGTACCCATGAATGTGAAGTAATTTGGATATAGAGTCTTCACAGACATAATTAAGTTAAGGATCTCGAGATGAGAACACCTTGGATTGAGGGTAGGTCCCAAATCCAATGACTGGCATTCTTAAGAGAAAGGAGGGAGGGATTTGAGACAAAGAGACAGATGAGAAGGCCATGTGGACAGGGGTAGAGATTGTTATGCCACCATAAGCCAAAGAACTCCAGGTGTGACAGATATGGTCCCTTTTTCTGTTTAATTGTATGGGGAGAACCATGGTCTATATATTTTTTCTTATTCCACACAAATTACTGGGAATTCATTTTTCCCTTACTTTATGGATATAGCCACACTGCTTATTACTTTAAGTAGATCATTTTTTTTTATGTATTTGGCCCCATCTTCATAGATTTTCTAATACGACCCATTGAATATTACTTTGCCTTCTTCAGGTCCACGGGGTATATCTCAGGTTTCCAGGCCAGTCTGTACGCACATCAGTCAGAATCCTTATGCATCTATGTGACAGTGGTGCTCCTGCAGCTCTGGCTCAGGTTGTTCCAAAGCAGCCACTTCCATCAGCTGGACAAGTCCTACAAGGCAGGGTTTGAGGGTCAGGGAGGATGTTGTAACAAGTCCTAGTAGGATTTTCACACTAGAGGGTGATCTTGTCCCTGGGCAGTTGGGGTCTGACAGACCATGGGCTTCTGCATGTACATTCAGAGTCATGGAAGAATCACCTAGAGGATGTTTCTGAGCTCTGGATGATGCCTGACCTGGGAACGGGTTGTTTGGTACCTGATTTAGTCTCCACCACAAACCAAGATTAGTAGTTTTCCTATTCTTACCCAGGAGATTCAGATTGCAAGGTGGTGCTGCATGTGTGCTGCTTCCTGAAGACTAAGGTCCTATTTATTTTTGAACATTTTAACCTTTATTTCGTGGAATATAAGAAACAAAACATGAACATAGGGGAAGGGAAAGAAAAATAAAATAAGATGAAAACCCAGAAATTGCACTACTAAGATACCCCAAAGATACAGGTATAGTGAGATGAAGGGGCACCTGAACCCCAATGTTCATAGCAGCAATGTCTACAGTAGTCAAATTGTGGAAGGAGCCGAGATGTCCTTCAACAGATGAATTGGTAAAGACGATGTGGTTTATATATGCAATGGAATATTACTCAGCCATCAGGAAGGATGGATACTTATCATTCACATCAACATAGATGGAACTGGAGGGTATTATGTTATGTGAAATAAGTCAATTGGAGAAAGATAAACATATAGTTTCACTCATATGTAGAATATAAGAAATAGCACAAAGGATCATAGGAGAAGGGAGGGAAAACTGAAGGGGAAGTCATCAGAGAGGGAGAAAAACCATGATAGACTATTAACTATAGGAAACAAACTGAGGTTTCTGGAGGGAATGTGGATGGGTGATGGAGTAACAAGGTGGTGGGATTGGGGAAGGCATATGATGTGATGAGCAGTGGGTGTCATATGCAACTGATGAATTGTTGAACACTACATCTGAAACTAAGGATGTATAATGTGTTGGCTATTTGAATTTAATTAAAAAAATAAGATGAAAACATAGAAGGAGGCAAATCATAAGAGACTCAACTCTAAGAAACAAACTGAGGGCTGCTGAAGGGAATTCTATCCCTGAAACTAATAATACAGGGTATGTTAACTAAATTGAATTTAAGCAAAAAAATTTAAAAATTTAACCTTTATTTTGCAATAATTTCAGACTTACAAAAAAGGTACAAGAATAGAAAAAAAATGTTCACCCCACTTGCCCAAATGTTAGCATCTCATGTAAGTACAGTGCAACAGTAAAAACTAGGAAGTTAACATTGGTACAGTGCTATGAACTGATCTACAGCCTTGATTCACATTTCATTAATTGTACCACTAATTCTTTTTTTTCTGTGGCAGGACCCCATTTAATATACCACTTTAAAAGTTTTTAAAATGGGGAGCTATTGCAGGCTTCTGGATGCAGGTGATGGGCTCAGGACATGTTACCCCCAAATACGGCACTTCGGTGCATTGAAGATCTTAAGCCGAAGGAGTTTGAGAAAATGGTGAAGCAGGAAGGACACTCTGTTCATCCCCCACCCTCTACCCGGAGCTGTTCTTCCCTGAAAACAGAAGACAAATCGCCCATGTGAAAGGAAACTTCCATGTACCAGGAAGAGGGAGGACATCCTTATCCCCAGAGATGGGGGATAAGGCTGTATAAGCAAACCTTGTTTTTTCTCCACCATTTATTACTTATTCCTAGTCCGAACCCCTTGTCTTGTTCATTCTTCACACATTTACTGTTTCTTTGTCTACAGGGTATATAAGCTTTTTGTTCTGGCCACTTCTTCATGTCCTCATTTTCTTGTTACGCCTCCCATGCATATATAAACTGTCAATAAAACCTGTATGCTTTTCTTCTATTAGTTTAATTCTTAGACCCCAACTGGAGACCCCAATAGGGCTGAAGAGAACTTTTTCCTGCCCCAAATGAGCAACACTTAACCCTCAGGGGTCTTCAGGATTAATTTCTGAATAAGGATCAGAGTTTATCCCCCCCTCACAGGGAAGCTAATATTACCTCACAAAGGTCTACTAGGGTCACACCAAGATAGCAAGAGCTAGTGCCAGGGCCTGCAGGTACAGTGGGATCCAGCCAGCAGAAATCTGTGGTGAGAAAGGAGGCAGGAGAGTAAAGAGAACCCATCTCTGAAGGAGGCACAGGGAATAGTTGATGGCTGGGTTAGACAGGTAGAACCCACGATAGGTAAGTAGAATATATCAAACCCTGTTCCATGTCCTGATTCCTCATATTCCAGTTCAAATACAACTTCCTCTGTAAGTCTTTGGTTCACACCAATGACATTTCTCTGTCCAATATACTTCTTACCACATAGCACTGTAAAGCTCTGTTCTGGGGGCTTTCTTCCTGATAGTTATGAAGGCAGGGAGAGGGTCTTGTCCATCTTGCAGGTGTTTAGAAATTACACTTGCCTGCATAATGGAAGAACGAAGTAGGTATCATAAATATGTGGAAAATGTACAGACCTGAGAGTTGAGCACCCATGCAGGGAGATTTCCTGGGTTGGTCCATTGGTCGGATTGGGGGCAGAGCCTTGAAAGGCTGAGGTCTCAATCTCTGCTTAACTTGGGCAAGCCTACAGGGCAAGGGGCACTGCGGGAGGGTGAGTGTGTTGCAGTCTGACTCCAACCCCATCCTGGCAGGTGCAGTGGATAGGAGGTTTCCGAGGCTGCAAGATGGGAGTTGGATGCTGGAGGAACCGTCTGTGGCTGTTGGCTGCCCTGGTCCTGACAGCCAGACTAGGTCATTTTCAAAGATGGGAAGGCTTCCAGGAGAAGTCCATGAGCAAGGCAAATATGAATTCAACGCTCCAGTTCTTCATGGAAACCTACAACAATGCTAGCAATGACACCTATTTATTTCAAGTCGACAAGTTACTTCGAAGTCAGATGCAGGTTTGTGCCTCAGTTTCTCTGGATGTAGGCAATGTCCACGTGGACATTCAGGGACGTGGTATGGTTCCCAGAGAGAACCAAGTGATGGTTTCACCAAGGTTGGGGGGAGGCTTCATTTGGGATGAGCAGGCTTTGGAGTGATTTGGACCCCAGACTTGCCTTTACCACACTTTCAAAAAGTTTGCCGAATGACTGGAATGAAACCTTAACTCTGTTACTCTTGGTCTGAAGTAAAAACAGTTTCTGAGGTTCTCAACTATTCTTTCTTGAAAAGAATTGCCTTTTGCTCTGAAATTAGTCCTACCAGAGTGACAGCCAATGAGGATGACTTCGTTTCCTTTAATAGTCTGCTTTGATGAAATATAAACATTTTCTGTAGGTTCCCCCTCAACATAGTCTTTCAGTGTCCAGGGCTGAAAAGTCTCAGCTTTCTAGTTATATTCTAAAGGAATCTGGAATTGCACAGGGCATATTTTTGGGCGAAAGGGAGAAGGGGGAGTGAGGAACAGACTTCAACCAGATCATCTCTCTTTTTATGTGTTTTGCACACAAAGTTTCTTTGAAATACACCAATTGAAGATGACAAGGAAAGAAAAGTTGTTTGAAAACCACTTTCGTGGGTCCAACTTCCCTTCAAGTTTAAATAGTAAACAATATGTAAGTTAGAGCAGAGGCAATAGCACATTTTAGTTCAATTAAACTGATTTTGCGGGAAAAAATGACAGGAGAAAAGGTCTCTGGCCAGAAGAGAGAGGCAGGAGGCAGTGGAAACAGGAGAAACCAGCAAGGCTGGAGCACAGAAAGGGGCAGGCAGTGTTAGTGTGACACAAAGCAGGCCTGACATCATAGTGTGGACATCAGTCTGTCCCTGTTTCAGTCACATACTCTTGCCCCAAGATGGTGGCTCATGTGGCCCACGAACACTGAGGTGACTTGGCCACAAGGTGGCGGCTATTGACCAAAGTTCTTGCCAAGTTGGCTTGCTGTCCCAGGTCCATGTCCCCAAGGATAAATCTGAGACTCCCAGGAAGGCTGCCTTGTGCAGTCAGTCCATTATCATTAACAGTTAACTCTAGAAGAATAGTTTATGAACTATTAATGCCATTCAGATGGATAAAGGAACAGAGTGTGTGTGCCCCTTGGAAGCCAGGGGACCTAGGTCCTTCTGCCACATAATGCTGTGTGTCCTAATACCTCACGGAGGGGTATAGGATGAGGGCCTGATGTGCTACATGCACCCAGGTTCCAGGTCCCTCTCATTGTGAGCCTTATGTCAAGAGCCATTCATACTCTCCAGGCCTGTTTCCTCACCAGCAAGTGGACAGGAGAAGAGTGAAGCAGCACTCATGAAAATATTTGTATGAGTATGATGATACCTCTTATTACCTAACAATCCAGTCTAATAACGAATACAAAAACACTTTGCACACTGGAATGTCAGTAAAATTTATGGCCAGTGTTTTAGATTTTTCGTATCTATGGAGTATGCTGTGCGAAAGCCCTGCAAGATGCCAATACCTGGATGGAACTGTCCTTTGATGAAGATAAAGGAGCCCTGCATCCTGAGGTTCTTCAGGTGGCAGATGCTGGGACCAGGATGACCATAATGCCCTCAAGCCTCCCTCTCCTGCAACCACCCTGAGTTTTTCTGGGGGCAGTTTCCTCGAGAGGGCAGTGTAGGCGCTCTCTCCCTCTACCACCACCAGGGAGAGTACAAAGCCCTCTCCTTTGGTTTGACCCTGATGAAGGGACAAGAAAGCAGGGAACTTCCAGGAGCTTTTCCCCTCCCCAGGGTAGAGCTCTCTTTCCCACGTGTTGACTTGAGGGACCCAGGCATTTCCAGTAGAGGACATGAATCCCCAAAGCATTTGTTGGAGTTCCACTGCAAGGTGTGGGTTCTGCCACAAAGGGCTTTCCCAGTCTCCCTACCTTCAGAGTACTTACAGCCTGGCACTCGATCATGAACGAAACAAGACAGAGCCCAGCAGCTGGAAATAGCCCTAGTGTGTGTTCTCCATGGTTTACACATTCACTGTTTGCGTACAGCCTAGGAGGAAACTGGCATTGTTCTCCCCATTCTCTAGATGAGGAAACTGAGTCAGGGAGGTGGCAGGGCTTGGCCAAGGAGAAAGAGTTGGCGGGGGTAAAGCCAGAACTCGAGCACAATTCTTCTGTCTTCTGTTCCATTGCTTTCCTATCTCCATAGCTGCTTCAGAGTAATGGTCCCCACACTTTGTTAAAACACTTAATAATTCCTTATAGTTTATTTTAAAATTTGCTTTGTGCATTCAGTAAAATGCATGCTTCTCTGTACCGCATGCAACAACTCCTTGAGCTGGCCCAATTATTATCCAGACTCTGTAGCTGAAGAAAGGGAGGCTGCTGGGCATTTGCTCAAGGGTGCAGTGCTGGTAGGAGGGAAACAAATGCCCCAAATCAATTCAGTTTCTACGCCTCTGTTTTTTAGCTGTGTTGCTAAATTGCTTTCCTTCAGGTTGGCTGGGAAGGAGAGTAGGGAGGGAGGACATGGGTGAAGCCAAGGGACAAGATGCACCCCTATGCATTCTGGGGATCATGTGTATAGATATCGGGGTATTCTGGGGCTTCCGGGCAGCCAAACTCAATGCCTTGCCAGTCCTTCATCCTGAGGATGCAAGGGAGACAGGTGAGAAGCCCTCTATGGCTGCAAAAGCAAAGGCAGCCCAGAGCAAGGGGAAGGACTCTGCACATGCTGAGGGCCGACCAAGCGCTTCAGCTGATACTGTGCATCCTCCCTCTGGGAGAGGAGGGAGACATGCTTTTAGTGTATGAGCTCTGGAAACAGGGAGTGTGGGTCCTGGGGCTTCATGGCCTAGCTTTTCCTGGAGAAGTCCAGCAACGGGATGCTGGGAGCCGACACTAACCGTGCCGCTCTTTCCCGGTAGCTCACGACTGGAGTGGAATATATGATATCTGTGAAGATTAGCCGGACCAAATGCAAAAGAAACAGCACAAGAAATTCATGCCCCATTCAAAGCAAAAAGAAGCTGAAAAAGGTGTGTGGTGATAGTAATTTGAGCAGGGACTTGTGATCAAAGAGGGACAAGTAAAATTTTAAAAAGTATTTGGACATCGACAGCTTTTCTAACTGTATGGATATGGGCTTTCAGGATGCCCAATGCCATTGGAGGTGTCCAGAGGTGGGAAGAAGGTTCTCTGATTGGGCGGTCTCTTCACCCTGAGCTGTCATAGCCCTGACTGCAGGCCTCCATTCTCTTCCCCTGGCAGTCCTGCCCCTGACCTTCAGGTGGAAACGGTTTACTTTCCCTGGGGCTTTGCTCTGGTCTCGGCTCATACTCTCTGTGTCCCTGGGAATTGTCTAGTTTCCTTCTTGTCTTCCAACCTCTGCTCATCTTTTCTGGCTTTTCCCAGTCCCTCCTGGTGCAACCACCCGCAAGCTGGTGTAGACACAAGGGACACTCTGTTCCTGAGTGCAGAAGCAGGAGGACAGTGGGCAATGCTGTAACCGCAGGCTGTCCTGCCTGGATTTGATCCCAGAATCCTGTTGGGCTGTAGGCTCCAGGTGCACCTGTTCCGGGTCCCAAGTGACTGGACAGGGGGTGTCCAGGGTGACATCCCTGTTCAGGCTGACCCCACTCTGCCCAACCATGTGACTGCAGACATGGGGACTGGTCCAGATTCCCCCAGATAAAAGCTTGTTGGGGGCAGGAGCTTTTTGTTCACCTTCAAAAAATATTTCCCTGAAAGCTGTTTTCTTTCTCCTTCCACAGAGTTTCATTTGTGATTTTTTGGTGTACACCGTGCCCTGGATGAACTATTACCAACTCTGGAACAACTCTTGTCTGGAGGCTTGAATGCACTGGTGCAAAGATATTTGATGAAAACTTAGATGGTCCACTGTGCACTTTCTATTAGACTTCTAAGTGCCTCTACCCCCTCAACAGAGTCTCCATACACCTGCTCACACTTGTGCACACATGCACACTCACACATGTGTACATGCACACTCACAACACACTCATGCACAGGCATAACCACACATATGCAGTCACACACTCACATTCATGTACATGCTCACATGTTTACACACACACACTTACTCATGCACATATTCAGTGGCCCTTAGGGGAGTGGCTGCAATTTGAACAGAAGGATGTTAAGTCTTTGGGGGAAACAGAATTTTTCTACTTCAGTGCATGTCTCTGAGGTTTGTTGTGATTCAGGCACATTCTGACCCCTGGCCTGTGCTTGCAGGAGCTATGTTTCTTCCCCATACTCTCTGTGACTTACACATCTTTGTGAGTGTGGCTGAATTCCCTAAGTTCACTAGTCCAGTAACTCAGCAGAAAGACCCTCAGGACTCAACACATAGTTGTGCTCACAGCTATGACTTATTACAGTGAAAGGGGATAAGATAAAACCAGCAAAGGGAAAAGGCTAATGTGGAGAAGTTCCAGGGAATGAGGTGCAGGTTTCCAGAGTCCTTTCCTGGTGCAGTCAGATGGTATGCACTTAATTCCCCAGTAGTGAGTTGTGGTAACATGTGTGAAATGTTTTTTTTTTCCCAGGGAAGCTCATTAAAGACTCAGTGTCATGGGTTTTCCCTGGAGCTGCACACATAGGCAGCTTCTGCCTAGGATGTGTCCAAGCTTCAGACTCCCAGAAAGAAAAACATGTATTCAGTATAAATCACATTGTATAAATAGTATAGACACAATGAGGTCCTCTCATCACTTAGAGATAGTTTTATATCAGAGTAGGGAACTGTTTGCCATTCATGTTACCACACTTCAACCAAGGCCAACTTTACAAGTGGGGCTTTCCAAAGACAGCATTCTGGGCTGGCTGTGTGATCTCTTTCCTTCACAGAGAGTTCCTGAGCCTCCTAAGTGCTCACTGCTAGAGGAATAAGACCTACGGCGTTTTCCCTTATGTAACTCATAGTTGAGCAGATTAGGTGTACACTAGACCAGAAATGGGGAGCAGATGAACAGTGAGAAAGTCCTCAGTGACCAGACCCACCAGCACACTTATAATGGAAGCTCGAGAGAGGATTTGCAAAGGGAAAGAGTAAACACACAAATAAGAACCTCAGATTCACCTGAGTGACTTGAGAGAGAAGGGAGAGCAGAGCTGCAGTGTTAGAGGTGGTGAAATTTTCATGCAAGAGAGAAGGCAGAAGCATCCAGTTTAGCAACTCTAATGTCACTGAGGGCTGAGTGGGTGACTTGCATGGGCTTGCTGTCCTCACTTTCTCATTTGGTTATCATAACAAATGATAACCTATGAAATAGCAACTCTCACCTTCATGTTAGAGATAAAGAGTCTCTCTCCAGATCCTACCATCCTAGCTGAGTTTGACCTGTTGGTTGAGTTTTTACAAATGGAATCATACAGTATATATTCTTTTGTTTTTGGCTTCTTTCATTCAACATATTTCTGAATTTTTTCATGTTGTGTGTAATTGTAGCTCACTTTAAGATTGTGTAGAATTCTATTTTGTGATTATACCACACTATATTTATCCATTCTACTGATAATGAACTTTATAGTAGTTTCTAGTTTCTAAAGAATAATAGATATTAAGAATAAATATGCATGTGTGTGTCTAGGGAGACATATGCATGAGTTTCTGTGGAGCATACAGCTAAGAGTGGAATCATGGATAATAGGATATGTGTACATTCAGCTTTAGCTAATTTACTCAAGATTATTTTAATATTTTCAAATTTTTTACTTAATTTACCTCTCTAATGCTATTTAATTATTTATTTAAACCTTGTTTGGCTTCTAAGTTCTTACTTTTTAAAATATCTTTTGGTTATATGACCTAATTGTTTTATTTGTAGCTTTATTTTATGTAATTTCAAATAATACTTTATTCTTTTGATAATATTTTACTAAACTTTATAACTTTGCTTTGAATTTTTAAAGTGAACTCTTCCTGCCCTACCCATTTGCTTTGCTTTTATGAATGGCAGCTGGGAAGGATAGGCACAAGGTAGGCCTTTGTGATGGGAGAGGGGAGTCCAGTCCCTGATGTCTAAGAGACCCAAGACAGATCTCCTTATAAGAGAGAGGCAGAGAAGGATTTAGCAGAGAATCATGGAAGAGAAGGTGTGCAATAACAGAGGCAGAGAGGGTAGTGATATGGCCACAGCCCAGCAAAGCCAGCAGCCACCAGATGCTGAAAAAAGAAAAGAACAGATTCTCACCTAGAGCCTCTGTGGGGATCACAGTCCTGCCAACACCTTTGATTTCAGACTTTGTGGTTCCAGAACTGTATGAGAACAAGTCTCTACAGTTTGAGGTCAGCAAGTTTGTGGACATTTGACAGCAGCTATAGGAAGCTTATACTCTGTTTCCTTTTTGCTTTGTATCTCAGACTTGGCGATGAAGAAGGGGGAAACCTAGAAATGACAATAGGGGCAGATAAAAAAAAGTCTCAGGAAAAACTTGCTCTCTCTGGTCAAAAGGTCAGGATGGGGTACCCCATTGGAACAGAGAACATTTAGATAAGTGCTTTACTCCCCACAAATACTAAAGGAAAAAATGAGGCTCTACAATCCCTTGACCCCCGTCAAAGGCTGAGTAGGGAAAGTAGATTTTCAACCTCTTGAGACTGTAATGAGGAGTCCAATACTCATGTTGAAATGGTGTCAGAGAAAGCCAAGTAGGGTGCAGAGCTTTCACCTCATTGAGTGTCAACACCCCCTCCCCCCACCCCACACACACACATTCCCTGTGGTGATAGTGGAGGCTACATAGAGAGCCTGGAGTTCTGTTTTTCCCCACTGAGCCTGGGTCGGGGTTGGGGCAGAAGGCTGAGTTCCCATCCCATCCAGCTGTGATGAGGAATCTCCCTGACCTGTGTCAACAGAGGCTGAATGAGGAACCTAGCCTTCAGTCCCCACTTGACAGTGATGAGGTGGTGTTCCTCTTCCCTATATAGCACTGTCAGAGGAGGCCTACTAAGAGACATATAAGTGGGATTCAGAAGTACAATATGAAAACATCCAGGTTTTAATAGAAAATCACTTGTCCTACTAAGAATGAGTAAAATGTCAACTTAAATGAGAAAAGAAAAGGAACAGATGCTAACATAGAGATGAGACAGATCTTAAAATCATCTGATAAGGATTGTGGAAGAAGCGAAGATATTCAACAGATGAATGGATAAAGAAGATGCGGTTCATACATACAAAGGAATATTACTCAGCCATCAGAAAGGATGGATACCCACCATTTGATAAGGATTTTAAAGCAGTCATCATAAAAAGGCTGCAGTGATCAATTATCAACATGCCTCAAACAAATGAGCAAATGGGAAGTCTCAGCTAAAATACAGACAATCTCAGCAAAGAAATAGAAGATGTAAAGAAAAAAACAGGTGGAAATATTAGAATTGAAAAATGAAATAACTGAAATACAAAATTAAATGTGTGGGCTCACTAGTGGAATGGAAGGGATAAAGGAAAAAAATAAATGAAGCAGAAGTGAGAATAATGGAAACTATCCAATCTGAATAATACTGAGAAAGTCGACTGAGTAGAAAAGAACAGAGCCTCAGAAATTGCTGAAACGATTACAAAATATCCAACACACTGGAATTGCAGAAAGAGAGGAGAAAGGGGGACTAAAAAACTATTTGAAGGGGTGGCGGGTGGGAGGTTGGGGGAACCAGGTGGTGAATATTAGAGAGGGCACGGATTGCATGGAACACTGGGTGTGGTGCAAAAACAATGAATACTGTTATGCTGAAAAGAAATTAAAAAAAAATATTTGAAGAAATCAAGATTGATCACTTTTCAAATTTGGCAAAAGACATAAACATATAGTATCCAAGTGAATGTATATTACTTAAATGTATATTACTAAAGTGAGTAAATACTAAACAGGATAAACCCAATGAGATCTACAGCAAAATGCATCAGAGTTAAACTTCTGAAATTTAAAGATAAAGAAAACAATCTTGAAAGCAGTGAAAGAGGAATGCCACCTTACCTATAGGAGGAAAACCCCAATTTGAATGACAACAGATTTCTCATAATAAACCATGGAGACTAGAAATGTTACAATGTTTTTTAGGAGCCAAAAGAAAAGGAAACTGTCAATCCAGAATCCTATATCCACCAAAAATATCCCTCAGGAATAAAGGGGAAATAAGCCATTCTCACATGGAAGGAAACTAGAGAATTTGCACCAGAAGACCCACATTAAAATAACAGCTAAAAGAAGTTCTCTAAATATAAAAGAATTTTTTTTTTAAAAAAAGGATCTTAAAGCATCAGAAAAGAAAAACTTAAAAAGTAAAAATATAGGTATATACAATAAGATTTCTTTCTCTTGAGTTTTCTAAATCATGTCTGATGGTTAAAGTAAAAATATATCATTTTCTGATGTGGTTCCCAATGTATACAGAAGAAATATTTAGGACATTTGTAAATGAGGAATAATAAAGGGGTATAAAGGGAGGTAAACTTTCTACATTTCATTCAAACTGGTAAGATATCAGCACCAGTAGACCGACAAGTTATGTATTTATAATGTCATATCTTGAGCAACCACCTAGAAGGCTGTGCAAAGAGATATACTCACAAAGAGTATAGATACATAAAAATGGAATTTTTAAACAAATGTTTAAGTAACTCACAGGAAGGAAGAATAAATAAAACAGAAACAAAACACAGAGAGAGGAAAAAATAAAATAAGAGACCTAATTCCTTTCAGCAATTACATTGAACGTGCAAGCTACAGTAAATGGTCTAAATAAGACAATTAAAAGACAGAGATTGGTGAAGTGGATTAAATAAAACATGACCCAACTAAATGTTATCTACAAGAAACTTACTTCAAATATAATGATATGTGTGAGTTGAAAGTGAAAAGATGGTAAAGTTATATTATGTGAACATTAGAAGAAAACGAGAGATGGGGCACCTGGGTGGCTCAGTGGGTTAAAGCCTCTGCCTTTGGCTCAGGTCATGATCCCAGGGTCATGGGATCAAGCCCCTCATCAGGGGTCTCTGCTCAGCAG